TATTAACCCTAAATCAATTAAATTGATCAAAATCTCTTATTTCTTGTTTATGTATACGAAATGGATGCTCTTGTTAAGTTGTGTAATGTGTTATTCACCCTAAAACAAGAAAATAAGGTGGGAATGATCACTGTACCACTATTCTTGGTTATTGTACCTCTGTTTGCATGTATATAGTACCACTTTAATACTTTTTTGTATCATATTTTCCTGGGAAATGTGATTTTTTTTTTTTTTATCCAAATATTGTTAGATACATGGAAGGGGCACAAAGTGATATACTAGGGAGTTGTACGTACAAGAACGAATTGTTTGTGTTCTCTATGCACATTGGAATAACTGTTGACGAAGTGTACACTCTCATATCAAAGAGGTGGCCGAATGTTAATTTCGAATTCGTCGTGCTATGCTATATTGCGCCAAAGGAAAAAAAGAGTGTTAGTTTGTTGGATGATGAGGATGTGAAGAACATGTTCGGTTACATGTTTGTTGGAAAATAAATATTGTAGAGATAATTGTCATTTAAAGAAATGAAAGATCGGATGATGGATTTCAATCGATCCCGATGAACATGAGCAGGTAATGTTCCTTTCATAATATTAATGAATTTATTATTGAAATATGGTATACTCGTATCATATCTTAGTTCATTAATTTTTTAACTAGTTCCATTATTTATAAGTTTTTGTATTATTTTGTCATGAACGCATGGAAAACGTACAGTCTAATTATTTGTCGGAGGAAGAAGATGAGTTGTTGCAAGATAAATCGATCGATTCTTGGAGATCTTGCATCAAAGGAGAGGGGCAGATATTCAGTGGAACCGACGAATTTTGAAAGAGGGTCAACAACTACGCGATTGCAAACAAGCGGGTTTAAGTATCGAAAAAATGACAAGCAGAAGGTCATCGATTGTTGTAGCAATGCGGATTGTGAATGGAGAGTATATGCATCGTTATACAAAGGGGATCAGCAGTTTGCCATCTGGAAATGCAATCTCGTCCATACTTGTGTACTCATTTTCATTCCAAAGAGTGGGTAGTAAATGACACTTTATGAGTAATATTTTTTGTACAATATACTGGCATTTTATACTGCAATATAGGTAATAATTTTGTGAAGTTTTAATCGGTCTATTACATTTTCATTCCAGAAAGCTGGTACTAATTGATCAATAACAGGTACTTCATAGAAGAAAAAGCGGTATTATATCCGTCAAAACTGGTACCAGTCAATGAGTTGAAGTGTATTAAGTAGTGTTTTTCCATTAGTGTGTTGAGTTCATGACAAATTTGCGATTAAACTTAATTAACCAAATATCAAATATCATAGAAACTAATGTCAGAGTGATTATGGGTCGTATAAACATCATTTGCGACCGAAATTCGGTCTTCTTATGTGTTAATTACAAGTAGTACTAGGGACATGATATCTGGTACTATCGCCATAAAGTGATACTGCATTACACTATGACTGGTACTACTTTTTGTAAATGTTGAGCAGAATTAGAATAATCAATTTTTCTTCACAAAAGTTGGTACTAATCGATCAATAACAGGTACTACGTAAAAGAAAATGAGGTATTATTTCCGTAGAAAATGGTACCATTCAATGAGTTGAAGTGTAAGGTGTTTTTCCATTAGTGTGTTGAGTTCGTGACCAATTTGCGATTAAACTTAATTAACCAAATATCAAATCTCATATAAACTAATGTTAGAGTGATTATGGGTCGTATAAACAACATTTGCCACCGAAATTATGTCTTCTTATGTGTTCATTACAAGTGGTACTAGGGATAGGATATCTGGTGCTAGATCGCCCTAATGTGGTACTGTCTTACACTATGACTGGTACTACTTTTTGTAAATGTTGAGCAGAATTGAAATAATCAATTTTTCTTCACAAAAGTTAGTACTAATCAATCAAAATCAGGTACCACGCAGAATATGATGCGGTATTATGTTTCCCACAACCGGTACTATTATCAAAATCGCGATTTCTCTAATCCTTCATGTCTACCATGACACGTGGATCGCTCACACGTGATTTGGATGAAAAAAAGTAGAATTGAAAACATATAGTTAGAATTTAGAGTAGTCATGTATGATGATTTCTATGAGATGAAGTGTGTCATTCAATTAAATGAGGCCTAGTAGAAGTGTTTTCTCATTAGTGTATCGAGTTCATGACCAATTTGCGATTAAACTCAATCAAAAACATTTAAAATCTTATATAAACTAATGTCAGAGTGATCATGGGTCGTATAAACATCATTTGCGACCGAAATTCGGTCTTCTTATGTGTTCATTATAAGTGGTACTAGGGACAGGATATCTGGTACTAACTCTCCATAATGTGGTACTGACTTACACTATGACTGGTACTACTTTTTGTAAATGTTGAGCAGAATTGCAATAATCAATTTTTCTTCACAAAAGTTAGTACTAATCAATCAAAATCAGGTACCACGCAGAATAAGATGCGGTATTATGTTTCCTCCAGCCGGTACTATTATCAAAATCGCGATTTCTCTAATCCTTCATGTCTACCATGACACGTGGATCGCTCACACGTGATTTGGATGAAAAAAAGTAGAATTGAAAACATATAGGTAGAATTTGAAGTAGTCATGTATGATGATTTCTATGCGATGAAGTGTGTCATTCAATGAAATGAAGTCTAGTAGTAGTGTTTTCTCATTAGTGTATCGAGTTCATGACCAATTTGCGATTAAACTCAATCAAAAGCATTTAAAATATTATATAAACTAATGTCATAGTGATCATGGGTCGTATAAACATCATTTGCGACCGAAATTCGGTCTTCTTATGTGTTCATTACAAGTGGTACTAGGGACAGAATATCTGGTACTAACTCTCCATAATGTGGTACTTACTTACACTATGACTGGTACTACTTTTTGTAAATGTCGAGCAGAATTGAAATAATCAATTTTTCTTCAAAAAAGTAGGTGCTATTCGATCGAAATTAGGTACCACGCAGAATAAGATGCGGTACTATGTTTCCAAAAACTGGTACTATTATCAAAATCGCGATTTCTCTAATCCTTCATGTCTACCATGACACGTGGATCGTTCTCACGTGATTTGGATGTAAAAAAGTGGAATTGAAAACATATAGGTAGAATTTGAAGTAGTCATGTATGATGATTTATATGAGATGAAGTGTGTCATTCAATGAAATGAAGTCTAGTAGTAGTGTTTTCTCATTAGTGTATCGAGTTCATGACCAATTTGCGATTAAACTCAATCAAAAGCTTTTAAAATCTTATATAAACTAATGTCAGAGTGATCATGGGTCGTATAAACATCATTTGCGACCGAAATTCGGTCTTCTTATGTGTTCATTACAAGTGGTACCAGGGACAGGATATCTGGTACTTACTCTCCATAATGTGGTACTGACTTACACTATGACTGGTACTACTTTTTGTAAATTTGAGCAGAATTAAAATAATCAACTTTTCTTCAAAAAAGTAGGTACTATTTGATCAACATCAGGTACCACGCAGAATAAGATGCGGTACTATGTTGCCCAAAACCGGTACTAATATCATAATCGCGATTTCTCTAATCCTTGATGTCTACCATGACAGGTGGATCTTTCTTGCGTGATTTGGATGAAAATAGTGGAAGTTAAAACATATAGGTAAAATTTGAAGTAGTCATGTATGATGATTCTATGAGATGAAGTGTGTCATTCAATGAAATGAAGTGTATTTGTAGTGATTTCTCATTAGTGCGTTGAGTTTATTACCAATTTCCGAATAAACTTAATCAAACACGTTATAAATCTCATAGAAAATAATGTGAGAGTGATTATTGGTCATATAAACATCATTTGAGATCGAACTTTGGTGTTTTATTATGTTCGTCGGAGCTGGTACTAAAGACCCGATATCTGGTACTAAAACACTGAAAGCTGGTACTATCTTACTATAGGTCTGGTACCAATTATTGCAAATATTGACCATAATTGAATAATCCATTTTCGCTGACCAAAAGTTGGTATTGATTCATCAATAACTGGTATTGCAAAGAAGAAAACGTGGTATTATTTGCGTAAAAACAGGTACTATTTTACAAAAATCAGTTTTTTTTTTTACGTTCGTCGGAGTTGGTACTGAAGACCCGATATCAGGTATTAGAACACCATAATTGCGGTATTATCTTACTCTAGGTCTTGTACTAATATTGAAAATGTTGACCAAATTGGAAGTAATCCATTTTTTGTTCTTTCTACAAAGTAAGTACTAATTCATCAATAGCTGGTACTACATAGAAGAAGGTGTGGTATTATTTGTTGAAAAACTTATACCATTTTACGAGATTCATTTTTTTTTTATGTTCGTCGGAGTTGGTTGAAAAATATTAATTAATATAGGTAGAATTATTAATTAATATACTAAACGGATCGTTCACGCGTGATTTGGTTGAAAAATAGTAGAATTTAAAACATATAAGTAGAATTTGAATTAATTCATTTTTTGTTCTTTCTACAAAGTAGATATTAATTGATCAATAACTGGTACTGGATAGAATAAAAGGTGATATTAATTGTTGTAAAACTGGTACTGTTTTACAAAATCTTTTTTTTTTTTTATGTTCGCCGAAGTTGGTACTGTATACCCGATGTATGGTACTAGAACACCATAATATCGGTACTATCTTACTCTAAATCTGCTACTAATTTTGCAAAATGTTGACCAAAATTGAAGTAATCCATTTTTGTACTTTCTGCAAAGCAAGTATTTGTTCATAAAAAACTGGTACTGCATAGAAGAAGATGTGATACTATTATTGGTAAAACTGGTACTATTAAACATGTATCATTAAGAACTTGCACATCTTTTTTCCTTTCTACAAAGTAGGTACTCAACACTGAAAAAATGAGTAATAATATAAAAATATATAAAAGGGCTACTCTAACTTTTGTGCAGCATTCTGCCTCAACGTAATATCAAGAACTCTCACAGTCTCTTAAAAATGTTTGGTCTCATGGCCACTAAGATTGTTTGCTATTTCAGACATTGGGATTTTGGCATCAAAGTTAATGGCCACTTTGTATGTTTTGGTATGAGGCCACCTTCTTGATCTCTTACGCTCACTTTCACTTAGGCTACCATCAACTTCCGGACTACGATTCCCAGTACCCCTACAGTCAAGTGTTTCGAAATATAAAGCAGAGACCAAAAAATTAACCAAAAGAAACTACTTAAAAGTAGAAATTACTATTTAGCTGCTCGATGACACTTCGGACATGACCACAGTAAATTCGAGCTTGTTGTGAGGCAGAGGACCCACACTGAACAAGCTTTTCTCACCATCGTATGCGAATCTTTTGCCAGCAAGCTCGGTTTTGTAGGTCTCGTAGACCTGGCCGAGGATCTTTCGCCCGACTCCTTTTGCATCGACAGGGGTATCATCTTCGTATTAGATTGTGACCTACACCAGAAAGAATTAAAAGAACAAAAAAAGAAAAAGAAAAAAAAAGACACATAATCATCAGTTTAAACACTATTGGATTTACATACTTTGTTAATGTTTCAAGACTCTATTTCAATAAACATCCAAATAATAGTGAGAAGACTATACATACACTGTAATGGTAAAAGGAACCATCGGTTTTTGATACGGAGACTGTAAAGTGGTTTGTCAAGAGTCATATGTTTTGTCCTCTCGAACCCAATCCTCGCCTGGCCATAGGAAGACGTTTACTACTTCTGCCGAATTTTTCCGGCACACCTTTTGGAGGTATTGGCAGTGGTGGTGGTAGTGTTTCCGGTTTTCGATTGTCCATTTTTTCTTGAAACACAATGAAGATAACATTAGAAACTCTTATGCATACACACATACTCAAATGGAAGGCAAAATTAACACACAAATTTCCACAGGGATATCAAATCACTTTTTTACTAGTAATAGTTCATCAACATATATCCTCAGGCATAAATCTTGAAGTTAATTACTGTACAAGAATACAAAAACACAAAACCACATTGCTACATAAATTATAATTATCAATCCAATAGGCAGTATGCTAGTTGCAGTATTCACAAGCCCACTTCAATTTGAAAAAAAGAGTGGGTGAAGTTGAATCTGCTCATGATACAGAGGCAATATTCTCCAAACAAACAATTGCCCACTCAAATTCAAATAAAATAATAATAACAACAACAACAACAATTGATTGAGAAAAAACATACCAAAATCAATAAAACTCAAATAAATCAATAAAACCCTAGACACGCAAATAGCCCCAATTTATCAATAAAATTCATAATTGGTGAAATAAAACTCAAATTCGAAGTGCATTAGCATCAACCAAATACCAAATTTTGAAAAATCTTGAATTCAATAAAAAAATCAAAATTTTGAAAAAAATTCCCAAATTCTGAATTGAAGAAAAAAAATCAAACTTGTTGAAAAAAATCCCCAAAATCTTACCTTGCTTATTGTGGAAGACAGTTTGTCGGATGTGGAACGACGAGGAGGACGGTTTTTCGAGCCCACCATTGTTTTGGCGAGGAGGATGTGGAGCTGAACGAAGAGAAGGGCAACTTCCCGGAGATATGGCCGGCAACGGGAGAGGGACTAAACGAAGAGACGAACGGAATTTTCAGAGGGAGAGACGATCGGCGGAATTTGCAGAGAGGCGGTAGATTTTGAGAGAGAGATATGCAAAGAGAAGACGACGAAGAGAGAGAGAGATGGGTTAAAGAAATGAAATTGAATTTTCAATAAAATGAAGTAAAATAAATGAATAATAATAATATAGGTATATATATGGGGAGTTGAGAGGAAAGAGAAATTTGTATTAGGGAGTGGATAGGAAGAATAAAAGGAGTGGGGACTGACAAGGAAAGAGAATTGGGGATTGGGGATTTATAATGAATTTACACTATGTATATATATGTATATATATATTTTAAAAAGTAAATGAAAGGATGGTAGAGAAAAGAAAAACAAAAAAGGTGAATTCTAGAGTCAGTGTGATGCATATCAAAATACCACGATATTAAGCACTTTTTATAAAACGATGTTAGGAGTATTTTCATAAAGTTAAATTTTGAATATTATAGGATATTTATTACTTTTTAGACATATGTAGACATACGAAGACTTTGTAATTTTTTTATGAGCATAAATATCTCTACAAAATAAATAATAAAAAAAGTATTTGAAGGAATTTATTTGAAATGGTTCTTGATTTCATACAAAGTGTGCATTGGATGAAAATACCTCTAATATCGTTTTATAAAATATTCTTAATATCATAGTATTTTAATATGCATTACCATGTTTGTAAAATAAATTTTCTTTTCATTTTTTTTTCTGTATCATCATTTCATTCATTCATTCATTCATTAATTATTATTATTATTATTATTATTATTATTATTATTACATTATTTTATGAGAAAAAAAATGGTCATCTCATTTGTTTGTAAAGTTTGTAGCTTTTACAAAACAAATTATTTGATTACATAAATCTTATTTTTATCATTTTAAAATCGATATGTTAATTTTCATATTATCCTAGTTTTATGAAATTTTAAAATATTTGAAAATATCTTGTGGAAAGATTAAACAATTCAGTTTGTGATATTATGGAATGATTAATAAAGATTAGGTAAATCTTAATAATGAGAACATTTTTTTCTTTCAATTGTGAAAATGAAAAAAAAAATATTATTTTTAGTGGGATGAATATTGAAATATCTCTATATTTATGGGACTGATATTGATATTTTTCCATGTCATTCGCTTTGCTAGAGTTAAATGGACCAGTTATAATATTATTAAGACACCTCAGCATGACGTGTCATTTTTTGGCCGGAAAAGGTTAGTTCCGACAACAATTGTCCTTATTTTGATTGAGTTTAAAAAGTTAGGAGATTGATTTTGGGAAACACCATTCTAATGAGACCAAAAGTGGAAAACCCAAAAACAACGGGACTAGTTTTGATGTATTCCCTGCCATGGATTGAGAAAAAAAGAACATCACATATATATATATACTAATATTCGCCTTCTTTGCTGCAAAGTACCTACTACGATTGGTAAGTGACATACTAGTTCTGATAAAGTGGATCAAATCCCTGCGTTTGCTTATTTTAACAAAATAATAATAATAATAATAATTTATAAATATAAAAATAAAAAATAAAACAAAATAAAACAGGTGTTTTAAATCCAGTCATTTTTACATTCTTTTTTTATCAAAATGGTAAAGATATTATAGAAAACCCCAAATTATATCTAGAAAATAGTCCAACAGCTAAAAATGCAGCTCAAGAGCTGAATCTAGTGGGAGGACAGATCTGAAGATCGCCTGGAACCTACACTAGAACACGACACACCCACAAACAACAACCAGAAAAACACCTAACTCTACAACTGAAGAATAAAAACTCTCCTAGGGGAGAATACACACTCCCCTACGGGAAAAAACACAAAGCACAACAACACAAAACACTAACTACACCAAACTCACAACACAAAAAACAAGCACCAACAACATACCAACAAAACACAAAACAACTAAAAAACAAAGGGCGGACAAAACCCATCCCTTAGCCGATAGTACACAGCAACAACGCAATGGCAATAACCCGACCGACCACTCCAGGAACTGCTAAAACACTCCTAACTAGAACCGCAACCCAAGAACACAACCCCACACCCATATAGTCGATCCCGGCCCCGTAGTCGGACAGAAACGGCAACCTAACCCCTCCACACAACTGTCGTCCCAAACCAGGTCCATACCACGGCCCGAGATCGGAATAGCCGGTTGACCTCTAAACCCCAACACCAGAGGAAGAGAGGACTTAAGAACAAGGTTTGCCATCCTCCACCCCGAATGTTGCCACTAGGCTGCTAGAGCCGCAACCCCTCCCGAAGCACCAGAACCTACCACCGACTACCCCGAAATCCGATGACCTGACACCCAAAGACGGCAGCTACACAAGTGTCAAAGTCTGCCTGGGTGGCCATCCTCTTCCAACGCCGCGAAGAATAGGTTCCGATACAAAATCGTGAGGAGGACCGCGCAGCCCGGAGCCCGCCACTGTCGGAATACCCGGCGCCGGCTGGGGAAGACCGAATTAGGGAAGATGAGGCGAAAAACTAGGTTAGAGAAATTGGGGGCGGAGAGAGTTTTTCTAAAAGACAATTATATTAAATTGGCTCCATTTTTACATTCATTCTAACGCTTAGGCCAAAAAGTTCATTGTAGGGATCAATTTATACAAAACCCTTAGATCCCTTATTTTGAAGATGGTTGCACCTGAATAAATCACTTTTTCATTTTTGCCAAAACCCTATTTTTAGTGTGTGCGTATTAGTATTTTGCTGCATAAATTTCGATCTTGGATGGTGTCTAGAGAAAGCTATTCAAAAATTGGATATAACTAATTATTTTAATTAATTTTTTGGGACTGAAAATGTTATTTTTTTCAATCGAAAACGATAGAATTTATATATAATAAAAAATACATAATTACATCTACAACACTCAAGAGTACCAAGCAGCTACACAACTGAATCTAGTGGGAGATCTACGCTAAGATAACCTAAATCTAACAAAATTCACACAAGCACAACTCACAATGCTACTAAGGCTATGTTTGTAAAGCCAAATAAGCTAGCTTATAGCTTAGTTGGATAGCTTATAAGCTTTCTGTATTCAAATAAGCCTCGTTTAGAAAGACAAACTTTTTTAAAAAGCTCGAGCTTATCCCATAAGCTTCTTTAAATAGCTTTTCAAATAAGCTAGTTGCATTTTTTATCTCAACTAACTTATCAACTAATTTTACCAAATACTTTTATCATATAAGCTAGCTTTTCAGTTATAAGTCATAAGTTATAAGCTCAAAAATTATATATAAGTTATAAGCTAGCTTATCAGCTATCAGCAAATTTTACCAAACATAGTCTAATACTCTAACATGTGGAAAATACAAACTCCTAAAAAGAGAATAAAACATCACAACTAACACAAACGCACACAATTCAATTACAGCCCTTATAAAATAGATAAACAATAGATACAGTATAGCCTCATCAACAACCGACAAGCAGTGAGAGTGTCCCGCGCCTAGAGCCAGTGATTCACTCGGGGTTAGGTGAGACCCTTAGATGATAGGTGCTTGCAGGCTATGCAACGCACCTGACTTTCAGCGTGATTTGTGATTGAGAACCTTGTTTATTTAACATTCGTGCTGATAAGGCTGCGAGAGAGGCATCCATATGTTATAGAAATCAACAAACTGGTGGGTCTAGCATTCGGGATTGGCATGTGTTCTGGTGCTCGCGTGCGAGCCAACTGCGAGATTCGCATGTTGGCTCAGCGCTCTCACGTGAGCGAGCTACAACAAGAGATGACCTCAATCGATGGGCTCATTCTTCGGGTGGCCGGATGTCAAGTGGGGTAAGCGACTCGTCGTTTGGGCGTGAGTTGGGAGTGAATGAACATCCAATCAGGCTGCTTGGTGATCTTAATGTAGACGCACATAGGAGACTCGATTCATAGTTGGCAATAACTTTAAGGCAAGGAGCCCACCGACGGCTGGGCATGACCCACGACTAGAGGTTGTGCTTGATTTGGGTGCACAACAGCTGGGAATTGCTCACGGGCGAGTTGGACCCGTCTGGTTTCTTTGAGTTCGTGTGTATTCAGGGTCCATGTGACTGTTTTGCATGCCAATTTTTTGTATACTCGTTCTTGGCACATTTTTCCTCTCATTTTGTGACCCACCAACCCAAATGTTGAACAAAAATATAAAAATAAAATAAAATAATAAATCCAAAAATATGAGAAAAAACAACCCATTAGAATTAACACTCTAAAATAAGCACAAATGAGTCTGATTAATCATACGAAAAATATAAAATAAATACGTTTAGAAAAAAAAAATAATAATATCTAAATTGCAAATACTTAATACGNAAAAAAAAAAAAAATCTAAATTGCAAATATTTAATGGTTGAATCTAAGAAGATGCCCGTCACTCACTTTCCGTGAGTGTAAGGCAACCATGAATAGTAACCACTTGCTCACTCAAAGAATGGAACTTACATCACACCATTATAAAGTAAAACCAGAAATATGTATATTATTTGTCGCATAGCATGACACTGGTTTTGGCAAATTAAATAGGGTAAAGTCCACTTTTGGTCCTCCATGTTTAGGGGTATCCAGACTGAGTCCCTATTATGTTTTGGTGCCCAATTTTAGTCCTTAAAACAAAAAAATGAGTCCCTATTATGTTTTGGTGCCCAATTTTAGTCCTTAAAACAAAAAAATGAGTCCCTATTATGTTTTGGTGCCCAATTTTAGTCCATAAAACAAAAAAATGTAGTCCCTTTACCTCAATTTCTGTGAATTAACGGTCCATTTTTGCTCGACTGTGATGTTCTTTATTTTTGTTAAAATTTGTTGATTAATGTCAACTTTGACCAAAGAAGAATAAAAGAAAATTTAAATGCTGAAAATATATTAATAAAAAATTAAACTAAAACAAGAAATTTCACTAAATAAAATTAAATTTTTTGCTCGTCTTATTTCTATTTCCCTAGCAGCAAGCCTGGAATCACAGCTAATGCTCTTGCACCCATTTCCGGGTCATGCCATCGAAAAAAATTGCACCTATCAACCCTCTGTTTTTTAACAATTTCTTATCATATTCCAATTGAAGTTCACGGAAAGTACTTACAGGATATAGAGGGCAACTCAAGAATCTTCTCCCGAGATTATCATCCTTCCAGCATGTAGTCAACTTTGCAACCAACTCACATCTACAAAATACCACACCATTTCCATCCATTTGATCGGATTTAGTCCCTAGGCGGTTAGGGTTTTTTTTTTTTACGTTTCACTGCAGTTCACTATTTCTGTCTTTTATTTTACTTTTTCAGCATTTAAATTTTCTTTTATTTTTCTTTGGTCAAAGTTGACATTAGTCAACAAATTTTAAAAAAATAAAGAACATAACGGTCGAGCAAAAATGGACCGTTAATTCAAATAAATTGAGGTAAAGGGACTATATTTTTTTTAAGGACTAAAATTGGGCATCAAAACATAATAGGGATTAAGTCTGGATACTCCTAAACATGGAGGACTAAAAGTGGATTTTTCCCAATTATAGGGACTATATTTTTTTGTTTTAAGGACTAAAATTGGGCACCAAAACATAATAGGGACTCAGTCTGGATACCTCCTAAACATGGAGGACCAAAAGTGGACCTTCCCCAATTAAATAATGTATGTTGAGATTTATAATTTTGTAAACAGAAAAAAAAAATGTAAATTAAGAAATAATTATTCACACATTATCGACCAATTGTCAACCCCACTCAACTCTCTCCCTAATGATCTAGTAGTGGCAATCCACCAGCGCCGCCGTGGAGAAGACCATACGTGGCTTCTGCTCGGCCGGAAACTGATCGAATTTATCATCTTCCGGCGGCGCCGGCAGGTTGAGATCCAAATCCAGCGCCAGCGCGCTTCTGTGTTTCTCAACACCATCTTCCGTCGTAATATCAATCTGCGGCGGCGGCTGAGGCGGCGGCGCCCTGTGCCGCCTCATATGGCCACCCAGGGCCTGACCCGACCCGAACTCCGACCCGCAGATAGAACACTCGTGGATTTTTGGCCTGATCTGATCATTAGTTTGGCAGATTTTGTTCGAATTGAGTGGTTTAGTGAGCTGTTCATCCGGAGGCGGCGGCGGCGGCGGCGGCTGATTTTTCTGATCGTCTTCGATGGCGGGCTTGGGCCTTTTGTGGCTGGCCCGGTGGCCTCCCAAGGCCTGAAACGAGGGGAAGGTCCTGTTGCAGGTTTTGCACTCATAAACGTAGATGCCGACCCTTGCAGATTTAGTCTCCGGCGCCGGCGAATGGCCGCGCGCCAGGAGAATCAAGCAATTGGCCATGTCCTCATCTTCCTCCCTGCTGCTCGAAGTGGCCGGAGACGAATGGTGGAAGAAAGTGTGGGACTCGGCGGAGGAGGTGGGCCGAGGCCGCTTGCTGCGCTTCCCTTTCACGATTGCGTGATCGGCGGAGGCAGAGAATTCCTCCAGTGTGTCGATTTTCATCATCGCTCAACTGCCTAATTAAATAATTAATTGTGAATTAGCCCACGATATGAAGATTAATTAAGAATGGGATTAAAGAAGAGTAAGTAGAGGCTGGGAAGTGTGAGAAAGTGAAGATGAGCAATTGTGAATGGGATAGTGAAGGTTACAATAAAATGCACGCAAACAGAGAGAGAGAGAGAGAGATTCACACGCACACAGAGGGGTGTGTGTATAAGCGTATGTAGAAATAAAGAGGTGGTGTTATCAAATATAAAGAGTAGTATTTTGTGTATTTATTGCAGTGAAAGGTAAGAAAGATTGTGTGGAGTCAAAGCCGATCTCGTGAACAGTTGTTTTACCAATCTTTTCTTGTTTGAATTGCCAACTAAATTAAAATTTGGAAAATACCTTTTTATTCTATATATTTCACACTAGCATTTCCAATGCTCTAGTGTTGTTATTGAACAAATTTTGACAAATGTCAATCAATTAAATATAGTGTGAACCATGTGGGAAAAATATTAAGTTCACGATATGAAATTAAAAAATCGTCTCCAATGCACAATATAGTCTATCTACAATATTATCTACTTACCAAATATTAAAATTTTAATAAGAAGTAAGAACAAATAATTAAATAATTAAATAATTTGAAGATGGTAAGAATAATTATCTCTCTTCTCTTCATTAGCTAGCTAGAGTGTGGAGGAGAATGTGGATGAACCACATTCTTCTCTACATTGTGGACATTAAGTATGTCCACATTACCACAATATTTGTGATTACATTATGCATTGGATGATGAAAAGTTGTGATATTACTAAATATTTTGAGGTGGCATGTAATTTATCACGACAATATTTGAGCATTGGAGATGCTCTAATATATGAGGTTACTACTGTAAACTTCATTAAGGATCTTGAATAAATAATTTGGTGTATACGAATTACTTACTTGATGCGGAAGACGACATGATTTGTGATCTTGATGTTGATGATCACACGAGGTTGAATTGATTGTTAGATCTAAACTAGTTTCTCCCTCCTGACCGATTTCTTTACGTAGCAGAAAAGTGATGGGATAATAACTGCGTACCTTGATGCGGAAGAGAGAGGACTAATTTATATAGGGGCGCTTTAGATCTGGTACGTCCATCAAATATCCAGATTAATGGCTTAGATTTGTTTGACTATTAATTAAAGGCCTAGCCCAATAAGATAATTAATTGTGAGCCCAATGTTTTCGGGCCACATATTCTTACAACTACATTATGGTAGTACAGATAATGCATTGTATGAGATGATCTAATCGTTAAACGGGTCGACCAATTATATTTTTATAGTAAAAAATGAATATTTATGTTATGAAATGACGTATTTTTATTTATGTAATTTTTTAGAGTATAACATTTCAGTTTGATAGTATGTTTATCATTCAAAAGATATAATTGGGTAACCATAGAAGGCCTACAGAATTAGAGTGAGATTGGTAATCTTGATTTGATATGAATAAAACAGGAATATAAAGTCTTCCTTCATACATAGACCTTCTTTCTTTAAGAAAATACTCACCAATATATATTACTACCTCCTAAAGTTTTTAAATGTCATTTTAGTTTCATTAATAATTAACCAAATAAATGACATTTTGTATATTTTGTACATATTTTTCTATTATTACCCTCATCTAGCTAATATATACACTACGTCATTTCATATTCACTCTTCATCTTTTTTCAAAACATTCATCTTTATCCTCATTAATGAGGGTTATTATTGGCAAAAAAATTTTTAATTACTAACTTCTCAAAATGACACTTATCTATATCTATATATATATAATAAGAATTACCATTTATTAAAAATAGTAGCAAAAAATTTAGAAATATTTAATGCATACTATTTTTGAAAACTTTTTAAGTATATGCATTAATTGTTTTCATATACACGTTTTCAAATCAGATCAAATAAGATAGGATAAAATAATTACTTAAATAAATTTACTAATATCTGCAACATTTTCATTGATATTTATTATAATAAATTACAAGATTGATTTTCCGTGATTCATGTTGATAATAATTTGGTAAAGATAAATTTTATTTTATTAATATTTGTAATACTTTCATTGATATTCTTTATAATAAATTACAAGATTGATTTCCATGATTCGTGTTGATAATATTTTGGTCAAGATAAATATTACACCATATTTTAAGTTCTAACCATAATATTAATTTTTTTTTCACAAATACACTTTTTATCCAAAAATATTTATGGTATATCGTAACAGGTTAGGTAAATTTTTTTCCAAGTATCAGACAAAATCAAGTTGTTATTAATCTTTGCCAATATATTTTTTCTTAAGCTTCATTTTGTTAAATATAAAAAATAAATTGTTCTTCAAATTAATACTATAATTTACCATTTAAGAGATAATGATCAGATAATATATTAATTATTTTACAAACTAATCTTAACATGCTCATATTTAATGTTTTGACTAAAAAATCAACCCTGATTAAGAGAAGTGCAAAATAGATTGTAACCTTATTATTTATTACACTTAACGCTGCTTAAAAGATGTGGAAAATATATGATAATTCTATTACTTTATATGCTTAAAATAACAAAGCCTGTGAAAATAACTCATTTAATATTTATGTTCCGTACATCGCACGGGGTATGTACTAGTTAAAAATAAGGAGTACTTTATTTCCTATTTAGTTTATTTAAGCTGGTGCTACTTTAATTTGTTTAATGGATAATATTATTTAGAGTTCTGACACAAACAACGAAAATTTGAAACTTATTAGCGCATTTAATAACTTCATTGAAGATCAAACTTGAACACACTTTAATATATGTTATTATAATAAATAAATGTTTGGCAATATTATGGAAATATAGTGAAGGTCTGTAATTCCAACTCACACACTTGAGTTATCATTAATCTAAAAAGTAAAAGCAGTGACACTGTTTATTCCAGTGTTACTACCGTGTGCCCTGGCACACCTAACAAGGTGTGTCAGGGCAATTTAAAATGAACATGTTATGTTATAAAATGAACATGTGCAAACATGATTTACACATGTTCATTTTGTAACATAACATGTTCATTTGTGGTACACCTTGCTAGATGTGCCAGGGCACACCTAAGTATTTGCGCAGTTCATTCAGTCTTAATAAGTAATGGTTTCGGTTCTTAATTAGGACTTCATTTTTTGTTGAATCCTGAAAAAGTCATAATTTTTTTAACCAAAGATTGCACCAAAGTTCACAAATCTATGACAAGAAATCACATGGACTTCTTTCCCGACTAAACATGTCATACTAAAATGGTGTTAAAAATACTAAATATGTGAAATAAGTCTTACACTCCACGTACGGACGTACCCATTTTTTTTCCCAATTACACAACACCTATAGCTATGACTTACGGCCGGTAGTTGCATTATAGCTCAATATATGACCGGTGAAAATATTAAAGTAAAACTATTGTTTTGTAGTCATACTTTTTTAATATATTTACATATATTCATGTTGAAATGTCATATACGCATACAGTATAAATAAAAAATATGATATTTTATAATGGAAATATAAATTAATCTCAAGGTAATTAAATTTAATTCATATAGTGATTCAACATTTGTGGAGAGTTATGGTAGTGTGTCATTAGAAGAGAAATTAAGGTTGGTGGTAACGTTAATTAGTCGGTTACATCTCACATTTTTGGCCAGCAAATAAACAGAAGCAATAAAGCAAAGGGGGGTTGCACGTTAAAGTCATGCTCCACCTCACTCACTCCATCTCTTCTTAAACTTAAAGAAAAGTATACTCTGTAGAGTGAGAAACTAAGGAGGAGAAAGGCTAGCTAACCAAACAAGATTCGGTTGGCTTTCAAGCAAACCATATGATAATAATATTAATATTATTATAAAACTTCTTTTCATCAACCATATACATTCCTTTTTTCTTAGAGTTTTTAGGGCCATATAATTGGCCCTCCACTATCTATCCACTACACATACATATATACCACGAATTTCTCAAAATTTTGAGTGGTTGAATACAACTAACTAATATATCACTAACTGTAATTGACTTCAATATTCCTTTAAATCCTTTAATGAGTTAAAACTTAGTAAGTGACAATTGATAACCTGTATGAATTACGTAGATGTAAAAAATTCGTGTTGTAATGAATTTTGATATTGTGAACAAGTTTGAAAGTATGAGGGGATATTGAGCTATGTTATTTGTTAATTCGATAATTTGATATGTTTCCTTATTTGCTATCATCTTACTGTTTTTGTAATCACATCCTGAAGATGTGTTCAATTGATGTACGACTTTGATTGTTTTCCCCTAACAATTCATTATATTCGTATATGCTCGATCGATGATTTTATTAAGGCTATAATTCTCATGTCCAATTATGGTTGTGTTTGATACTAATAACACTCTTGACCCCCCTACAACTGTCTCTATACTTTATATGTCATGTATTTCAGTTGGAAATTATATAAACAAATTAGTGGTTTTGTATTTTATATCTATAGTATTATTTACGAAAACTTAAATATTTAATTACGATTATAGACATGCTGCTCGCGAGTGCTCCCGAGCCAAATTCAATCCTGTATTTATAAATAAGTTTGAGTGTCAGACGAGCTGCTCGAATATAAATATAATTTACCTACACATCTGTAACTTGAGCTAAATTCAAGAAAAGTCTTATTTGATTAGAATTTTGTAATTAAAAAATCAGAGTCAACCTCGAGCGACATTCAAATTGATGAAAATTCTACCTGATGTCAAGAATTTTTATATTTTGGTTGATTCAAGCCTAACCTTAAACAAGATTGGCACGTAGAGCTCTAGCAGTAGTGATATAATCTAGTCTCACTTGATAATGTCATTGCTCGACCTGGCTAGTCTTATTTGCAGCTCGTATTTAATACACAATGTTGTAGTGGGTCGTCTATATATAGAATGTAACACCCAGGAACTAAAATA